TTCAAGAGAGATTTTCATATTTAAAAATTTTTGAGAATATATTTAATATTTTCTTATGTCCATTTGACATTGTTGTGGAACAAGCTCCAACAAATTTGCATATAGACTTGATCTCCAGTCATCTTCTGAATTGAAATATATGTTTGAGGCCAATGACAAAGTTCAGTTTTATACAAAATACATCTGTAATGATAAATTCCCTAACCTAAAAAAACTTGATGAGCATTACAGTTGCAATGAGAATCACCTAGCTTTGTGAATTTTTTTTTTTTTTCAAAATTGAAGATTGCTAAATGTAAAAGTCATAATAGATTGACTGATAAAAACTTACAAAACCAACTATGTTATACAACATCAAAAATACCTGTTGATATTAAAAAATTAAGTGAAAAAATTGAAAAACAAGTTTTACTTTAAAATACATACAAAATACTGTATAATTGTATATGTTTTGTTGTAAATAAATATGTGCTGCCGACAGTATTTTTTTTTTGGTTTTGGCCAGTAAACAATTTCAGTTGGACAACACTAGTCTAGACAAATGCAAGACACTACACATTGAAAAAGAAGTTCTGAAGGCAACTTTGTACTCAGAAGTGATGATATTGAATCCATAGAAGAGGGAGAGAGTTACAAATATATTTTGCAACTGTATTTAGGATTGCAACAGGCCAAACATACAGAACATGCACAGATAAAACAAAGATTAACACTTGAATACCAGAACAGATTACATGCAGTACTAAGAACACACCTAAATGCAAAACATACTATTAAAGCTATTAATGCCTATGTTGTTCCTATTCTCTCTTGTTCTTTTGGAGTTATACAGTGGACATGCACAAATCTCAAGCAAAGCAAAACAAGAATAACCCTTATTGTTTATGCTTAGTATCACCCCAAAATCATCCATAGAAAGACTAACTTGTCCTCATAAAAAAAAGTGGCTTTGGTATAACTAATATAATTAACTTGTACTACAAATACATTCTGACACTATGGGAGTTTTTTCTTTTTCCAGAAAAAACAAGAAACATCAAGATAACATAAAACTATAACTCTAGCATACAGCAATAACACACCTTTAAACTTACACTCTGAGCATCTAGACATAGCTGAACACACAAATAACATAGAAACCACTAAGCAAGCATAGATTGGAAAGTCATTTCATGGCAAGCATGCCTATGACCTGACTCGGGGCTGTGTTGACAAAACTGCATCAAACTGTTGGCTGACTAGGGCTGCCTGTTTGGAGAGATTGTGGTGTTTATGGTTGCCATTCAAGATCAGGTCATAAACACTAAAAACTACAGAAAACATATCCTGAAAGGATACATCACTTACAAATGACTCTTGCAGAAAATGTCACATTCTGCCAGAAACAATACAACGTATAACTTCTGGTTGCAAGCTCTTAGCACAAACAGACTATTTGCATAGGCATTATCAAATAGCAAATATAATACTGAAAGCTTGCACACAAAAGCATATTATTTAACACCCAGTTACCATATTATAAATATATTCCACAGTCAGTATTAGAAAATGAAACACAAAATATACTATGACAGAGCCATAATTGCAGATAAAACAATTCATCAAAATAGACTTGACATCACTTTCATTGACAAATGCAGTAAGATTGCTTATATAATGACATTCCAAACAATCATAACAAAACATGCCCACACTAAAAAAAATCAAGTACACTTTGTTCTCCCAAGAAATAAGGCAACTGTGGAGGATGGATAAGATATTTGTTGTACCTGTTGTCTTCTCTTCTAATGTTGCTATACCATATACACTACACAAAAGTCTTGAAGTGTTAAACCTAAATAAAAACATATACATGGCACCATAAAAAGCTACAGTATTGAACACATCACATTGTTAGGAAGTTTCAAGATCTTGACACATACACCAATGTTACAATTATTTGGGTAGCTTCTCTGCTTCTTCCTTGTCATTATTGCCAGCTTCACCATGCATGGTGACGCTATGAATTCCACACCTTTTTTTGAACCTAAAAAACCACCCCCTGTTGGCTTTAAACTCCTCTTCTTCATTGCCACTGCTGCTGCTTGTTCCAGAAGTGTTTTTCTTCAACTCGTAGATGAGTTTGGCTTTTTGACAGATAACTTCTTGGGTAGAGATATCACCTCTCACCTGCCTGTCATTGATCCAAACCTTCAACAGCTTTTCCATTTCGTCATGGAGTGAAGACCTACGCTTCACATGGAAGATCTTGGAGACTCCCTTGGCAACCTTGGCTGACTTGATGGTGTCTTTCTTGCTTGAAATGGTGTTGATGGTGGTCTTGCTGAGACCAAACTCTTTGACAAGGTGACACTGTTTNGTTTTGGCCAGTAAACAATTTCAGTTGGACAACACTAGTCTAGACAAATGCAAGACACTACACATTGAAAAAGAAGTTCTGAAGGCAACTTTGTACTCAGAAGTGATGATATTGAATCCATAGAAGAGGGAGAGAGTTACAAATATATTTTGCAACTGTATTTAGGATTGCAACAGGCCAAACATACAGAACATGCACAGATAAAACAAAGATTAACACTTGAATACCAGAACAGATTACATGCAGTACTAAGAACACACCTAAATGCAAAACATACTATTAAAGCTATTAATGCCTATGTTGTTCCTATTCTCTCTTGTTCTTTTGGAGTTATACAGTGGACATGCACAAATCTCAAGCAAAGCAAAACAAGAATAACCCTTATTGTTTATGCTTAGTATCACCCCAAAATCATCCATAGAAAGACTAACTTGTCCTCATAAAAAAAAGTGGCTTTGGTATAACTAATATAATTAACTTGTACTACAAATACATTCTGACACTATGGGAGTTTTTTCTTTTTCCAGAAAAAACAAGAAACATCAAGATAACATAAAACTATAACTCTAGCATACAGCAATAACACACCTTTAAACTTACACTCTGAGCATCTAGACATAGCTGAACACACAAATAACATAGAAACCACTAAGCAAGCATAGATTGGAAAGTCATTTCATGGCAAGCATGCCTATGACCTGACTCGGGGCTGTGTTGACAAAACTGCATCAAACTGTTGGCTGACTAGGGCTGCCTGTTTGGAGAGATTGTGGTGTTTATGGTTGCCATTCAAGATCAGGTCATAAACACTAAAAACTACAGAAAACATATCCTGAAAGGATACATCACTTACAAATGACTCTTGCAGAAAATGTCACATTCTGCCAGAAACAATACAACGTATAACTTCTGGTTGCAAGCTCTTAGCACAAACAGACTATTTGCATAGGCATTATCAAATAGCAAATATAATACTGAAAGCTTGCACACTAAAGCATATTATTTAACACCCAGTTACCATATTATAAATATATTCCACAGTCAGTATTAGAAAATGAAACACAAAATATACTATGACAGAGCCATAATTGCAGATAAAACAATTCATCAAAATAGACTTGACATCACTTTCATTGACAAATGCAGTAAGATTGCTTATATAATGACATTCCAAACAATCATAACAAAACATGCCCACACTAAAAAAAATCAAGTACACTTTGTTCTCCCAAGAAATAAGGCAACTGTGGAGGATGGATAAGATATTTGTTGTACCTGTTGTCTTCTCTTCTAATGTTGCTATACCATATACACTACACAAAAGTCTTGAAGTGTTAAACCTAAATAAAAACATATACATGGCACCATAAAAAGCTACAGTATTGAACACATCACATTGTTAGGAAGTTTCAAGATCTTGACACATACACCAATGTTACAATTATTTGGGTAGCTTCTCTGCTTCTTCCTTGTCATTATTGCCAGCTTCACCATGCATGGTGACGCTATGAATTCCACACCTTTTTTTGAACCTAAAAAACCACCCCCTGTTGGCTTTAAACTCCTCTTCTTCATTGCCACTGCTGCTGCTTGTTCCAGAAGTGTTTTTCTTCAACTCGTAGATGAGTTTGGCTTTTTGACAGATAACTTCTTGGGTAGAGATATCACCTCTCACCTGCCTGTCATTGATCCAAACCTTCAACAGCTTTTCCATTTCGTCATGGAGTGAAGACCTACGCTTCACATGGAAGATCTTGGAGACTCCCTTGGCAACCTTGGCTGACTTGATGGTGTCTTTCTTGCTTGAAATGGTGTTGATGGTGGTCTTGCTGAGACCAAACTCTTTGACAAGGTGACACTGTTTTACCCCACTTTCACTCCTTCTGATGATTTCTTGCTTTGTTTTAATTGAAATCACCTTTCTTTTTTTTTTTTTTTTTTAGAAGCCATGATGCATTATAAACGACTCAACTGACCAGATAATATGATACGAATAATTCTTTATTAAGATCACTAAACACTACTACATCCAGCTGGTTCCCTCGAGCCTCTCTCACTCTGTATGTTTTTCCACACCCTCTCTTTTCGTCCCTCCACCTCTACACAATTACATTTCGTTTATTTGAATCATCAACATATATTACATTACATTTCTACTTCAGATATACTAATAATACATTTTAATAATACTAATATATTCTAAAAAAGCAGATTGTCATTGGCAATGGCAAAAGAGTAGAAACATCATTCGCACTTGTTCGAAGAAAGTCCATTGTTCATCTCACGTAACTGCCGAACAGAAAGTCCGTTGTTCGCAGTGTCTGTTATTTGAGGCATACGTTATAAGAGGCACCACTGTATTTCATTATATTCAGTTATAATTTTAGATGTCTTCCAAAAAATACTCATGAAAGGACATTATTTTATGTATTCATATAATTACACTTTTGTTTTATTATATTTCACATTTTAAAGATATTTTCATATATAATTTTTAATATTTAAAATATTTCTTAAGTATATATTTTATGAAACCATATTGAAAAATAGAATTTAGGTATATTTACTTTTTACATATCAAATTGATTCATATAATGTTTGTATATTTATACATCTTATTAAAGCTACTTTAATTTTAAAGTAACAGGAAGAAGAGCTGAATCATTGCCATCATTGAGCAATAACAGCAACATAGAGAAAAAGAAAAAACATAAAAAACGACCAAAGATCACGAAAAAAGATATTGGTTTGCCAAAAAATTTCATGTAAGTATTTTAAATTTTCTTATCAGTCAAATTCTATAATCTAGTTTTGGAAATGGAAAAAGTCTTTTAATTAACTTTAAAGATTTTATGGACTTTTTCCTCATCGTCTTTGATATATAATGCTGTTCTTTATTGACAAAAAATAATAAATGTAGATAAACTGCTTAATCAAAGTAAACATGGAATGAATGAATATGCATATGTGATTTTGGCTTTTCAATCATTTTTAAGCATCTGGGGGAAAAACAGTGTGTGACAGAATGAAGTTGCCATGGATACAGTACATTGACATAGAAACAAACCAAAACTAACAATCTAATATTAAAAAAACATGACAAAATTATATATTTATTTCTGATTTAGCAGTTTATTTACACTTGTATTTATTTTGAAGTGTTTGTTATGGATTAAAAATAATTTTATAATTTTGATTATGATAAACTATGAAATTTTTATTTCCGTTAATAAAGTTACAAGTATAATAATTTGTGGTTAGTAAATAATATTTAATTTGAGTTGTTATAAAAATTTTTTACTATAGATAAAATTGTTTTTTAGAAAATTATTTTCTACAACTTTAAAGTTTTAGAGTAAAAGTTACAATTAAAAATTTCATGTTTGTTTGTTTGAATATTAAAGTGATGTTGAGTATCTTGTGCAATTTAAATATTGTTTAATGTAATACTACTATGCTGAACTTAAAGTTGCTTATTTTATTTAAAATATTAAGTTTCAAATATTAATAAATATATTTAATATTTTATAATAACTATACTTTGAAAAGTTGAAACTTTTTTCTTTATTATTTGTTTATAGTAAAAACAATTAGCTGTCTATTCATAACAAATATTAAGACAAAAAAAATATGCTGTTATTTAACTATTTTGAATAAATGATGATATTTAGTACATTGGCCTGTGAAACAGTAAGGTTAATGTATTGTCATATGCTAGTTTTGTTCTGATAAATCTGATTTCAGCCAGAAACTTTATTATTCAACATTTCCTCCAAACATACAGTTAAATAATAGAACATTTTTCTTTTTTAATATTTATGAATAAACTGGTGGTTGCTTTTAATATAAACAAATCTCAGCAAAAAGCTTTAAGCTTTCAAATATTAAAAATATATTTTAACTAATATTTCATAATATTATTTGAAACTTAAAATAACTTGCTTATTGTATTTAAAATATTAAGTTTAGTATAATGGATTTCAGCCAGGAACTTTAACAAACTAATGAGGAATTATTTAGCTCTCTTCAATTAATAAAATGTTTTCCAGATGATATAGTGCATATTATGTTGTTGTTCTTAACATATATCAAACAAAAATAAATAATTTTGCTCAGAGTAAGTGAAATAATTTTTATTAGATTTTAAATAGAGGATATTTATTTTCATCTTTCTAAAAAATACATGTATGTGATTTGGTAATAGTTGACAAATATATTGCAAAATATACTAATTTTTATGGATACCATTTGTTTCTATTTTATGGATTTTTTGCTGCAGAATAATAATATAGTTTCAGTTGAAAGAAAAAGAGAACTTGTTTATGGAACCTTATGATTTATAATGCAGATGTTATCTTATAAATTATTAACTAAAAGATGAAATTTTTTCTCTCTCTATTTTGAGACCTATTACAACCTAAACACTAAGTAATGTTTTTCTGTTTTTTACAATTGCACAAATTACATAAATTTGATTTTAATTTTAGTGTAATATCTAGCCATATTATCACTTTTAAATTACTTTAATATCAATACTACTAAATTTATAATCTGTGTGCATTTTCTTATGTCAATTGAATCTATTGTATTCTTTCTCTGTACTTAGTTTAGCAGTAAATAATAAAACATTCCTTTCAACCATAAAAATCAGAATTTATTCATTTATTTTAAGGTTTAAAATCAAATGTGTAGAAATAAAGATTTTTACATTTAATGTTAATTTTATAAAAAGCAAAAGTGATTAGTATAGGCAAATATAAAGTTATGGAAAAAGAAATATGGAATTACTCTAAAAATGATACAAAAAATATTGCATTTATATTATTGAGTTTATTGTACTAGCTGTAAATTATGGGATATTGTACAATTATACAAATCAGATTTTTTACTGATTGATCAAATTTAGCAAATGAGGTCTCAAATTAAATCTCATGACTTCTAGATGTGTAGAAAAAAATTTGAACGTATTTTGAGTTGATGAAATTATTAAAAATTTTAGCAATTATGTCATTTACATGACCAGTAGTACTGTCACATGGTAAATTATTACAAACTTTTGCATTATACAATGATTTGTATCTTAAATTGTCTTAATGTATATATTTCATAAAAATTACAAAGCTTCAAATCAAAATAAAAATAATTACCATTAAACCAGTAATTAATTGTCATTTAAATAAATGTTTTCTTCCATTTTAAATGGTCATCATCAGGTTTTGATGGAATGTTTGTAAAAGAACATAAACTCCAAAATTTAAAAAGTTGCATGTTGTGAAGATATGTACATGCTCAATGACATGTTTAAAAAATTAGCCTTCCAGCCGGATTCCAGTTTTAAAATATTAAGTTTATAAAAATATATAAAAACAAACTTTACGAGGATCTATTATACGTCAAAGCAAACCCTCCAGGCAGCTGCTAATAAGTCCATGTCCTTAAAATTAATCACTGTTTCCCTCTAAAATGCTTTAAATATCTCCAGTTGTTTGAGATNACATATATGCAGCTCTCTGGTACTTTTGTTATCCTGTTTCCATGACAATTTGGCTCTTCTTACTTGACAAACTGCCAACCCCTGTCCTATGGCAAGTTCATAAGCAACACAGAAATATACGTATGGCATACATTGATTACAGAAAAGCATTCAACAATGTCCCACACACTTGGCAGCAGCCAATTCATCCCCAATGCATACTCAAGTGATATACAAATGGGGTTTGGTCTAGACCTGCCATGTCCAGCCTGCGGGCCACACATGGCCCACTCAATGTTTTTGAGCGGCCCTTTTAAAATGGTAATTATTCTTGTGATATTTCATTGTAATAAAAATCTATACATGTATAGTTAAATACATTAATATGATGTATAACATCTTATCACGTACACTCAGAAATTAAAACTAGAGATGCCACGAATATTTGGCTACTATTCAGTATTTGGCCTATTCAGCTACTTTTTTTAATATTCAGTATTTGGCCGAACATTGCATACTATTTGGTCAAATACCGAATACTAAATCATGAAAAAAAAAACACATATATTACTCAAAAACGTATTTATTTTAATCATAAATTATTACATTTAATACTTAAAATCTATCAGTGGTAAGTTGTGATGAATGAAAACAATTTTTNTTTAAAATATTAAGTTTATAAAAATATATAAAAACAAACTTTACGAGGATCTATTATACGTCAAAGCAAACCCTCCAGGCAGCTGCTAATAAGTCCATGTCCTTAAAATTAATCACTGTTTCCCTCTAAAATGCTTTAAATATTTCCAGTTGTTTGAGATATTTGAGGTTGGCCAGGTCCTTGCACCGTTGCAGTAATCAGGCATTGTCAAAGTCAACCCAGACATCATTATCAACAAAGAAAGAAGCCAATGTAGTAGTGGAAAGACCCTTCTATAAATGGTGTATTTATGCTCCTTGATTCTCATTTTAGACTATGTGTGGTTGCACCAATATATTCACCAGGTCAGTTCACCCTATGATCACAAATAGAGATAGTATAGACCCCTGGGATACAATTTTGGTCCAATAGGTACTTATTGTTTCTAATACAAGAGCAAACAGTCGGAGATCTGTAAGTAATCCTGTTACTCGTAAAGTGGGATATTTCATTATAGATGTTAATATTTCTTTGTAGATGATAGTCTAAAAATGAGGATCAAAGAGCATAAATACACCATTTAGAAGGGTCTTTCCACTACTGCATTGGCTTCTTTCTTTGTTGATAATGATGTCTGGGTTGACTTTGACAATGTCTGATTACTGCAACGGTGCAAGGACCTGGCCAACCTCAAATATCTCAAACAACTGGAGATATTTAAAGCATTTTAGAGGGAAACAGTGATTAATTTTAAGGACATGGACTTATTAGCAGCTGCCTGGAGGGTTTGCTTTGACGTATAATAGATCCTCGTAAAGTTTGTTTTTATATATTTTTATAAACTTAATATTTTAAAACTGGAATCCGGCTGGAAGGCTAATTTTTTAAACATGTCATTGAGCATGTACATATCTTCACANGCTTCTGAAAATAGCCTCTCACTATATACACTACTGCCGGGAGACGATAGATAAATCTTAGCGAATTCTGTCAGGCTTGGATACTGTTTTGTGTTTGATGACCACCACTTGTAAAGGTCTGCCGTTCGATCGATCTAGGCAAACAGTTTTCATATAAAGTGATTCAAACAGTGATATCTTTTAGTAATAAAGACTATTACTAACACAATTTGATGTAACAATGAACAAATAATGCATGTCATGACACGATCTACTCGCAAATAAAACAAATGCGCCCGCTGTGTTGCTACCGCACCCACCGCAATGAGACAGGTCGTAACCTGTCGCCCACAAAATGTACAGATATTTTGCCAAACATTTGGCCACCGAATATTCGGCACTTCAGCTTGAGAGCGTAGCCGAATATTCGGTATTTGGTATTCAGCAAAATTACTATTCGTGGCATCACTAATTAAAACAGTTATTAAATATTATTTAACAAAGCTTAAAATGTATGAATGAAAATGACCAGAATGTTCCTGAATTATATGAGGGACAGTGACTTTTGGATTTATGTTTCCTTACAAATATCACAATGAAATTAAGTGAACATAATAAATAGCTTTAAAGTGGAAACAAATTGATCACAGACTGTTATCAAAATATAGAAAAACTCAAACTTTATGAAAGTCAGTTAAA